GTGCCTTTGCTATAGCCTTCTGCTCCTTTCTCCATAGGACAAGAGACTCGGAAATTAAGTATAACCTAATTCTGCAAACATTTATTAAACATCTTATATACACCAGGCACTGACAGGTGCCAGAAATAAAGAGGTCACTGTTCTCAAAGTCTGTGGGAGAGATGTGTATATGGACTAAGACATGTCTAACTTCAGTGTCCCAAACTAGCCTTGAACTTGCAATGTGGCCTCAGATGATCTTGAACTTCTGATCCTGAACGCAGAATTACAGGCATACAGCATGTGTTTATGTGGTGTTAGAGACCAGAAGGAACCCAGTACATGCCAAGAAAGCAGTCTACCAGCAGTTATATTCCCTAGCACAGGAAGAGCCCTTTTCTTTTTGTTTTGTTGTGTGTATGTGCATATGCATGTGTGTATATGTATGTGTGTGTATTTGTGTATGTATATATGTGGGTATATGTGTATATGCATGTGTATATATATGCATATACATTGTATTTATGTATAGTATGTGTATATATGTGTGAGTGTGTGTATGTGTATATGTGTATGTGTGTGTAGTGTGTGTATATGTATGTGTGTATGAATATGTCTGTGTTTGTGTGTGTCGGTGGCAGGGTATAAGTATATTAAGAACAAGTCGGGCATGGTGGTGAGAGCCTTGCCTATAAGCTCAGTGCTTGGGAGACAGAACTGGAAGGAGCAGGAGTCATGCTTGGCTGTGTAGTGACTTTGGGCCCAACCTGAAATAACCGAGACCCTGCCCAAAAAAACAGAAAGGAAGGAAGGAAGGAAGGAAGGAAGGAAGGAAGGAAGGAAGGAAGGAAGGAAGGAAAAGAAATCCAGAAAAGGATGCTGGAGGCCGGGTGGTGGTGGCGCACGCCTTTAATCCCAGCACTTGGGAGGCAGAGGCAGGCGAATCTCTGTGAGTTCGAGACCAGCCTGGTCTACAAGAGCTAGTTCCAGGACAGGCTCCAAAACCACAGAGAAACACTGTCTCGAAAAACCAAAAAAAAAAAAAAAGGATGCTGGAGAGGTGAGAGGTAGCTCGGGGGTCAAAGCACCAGCTGTCCCACCAGAGGACCCAACACTGAGGTTAGGTGGCTCACAATTGCCTGTAACCCCAGCTCTGTAGGATCAGACACCCTTTCCTGGCCTCTATGAGCACATACACACATGCATGAGACACACACACAAATAAAATAAATCTTCTTTAAAATGTCAATAAAGAAATGAAGCAAGGCTAGTGAGATGACTCAGAGGACAAAGGGGCCTCCTACAAAGCTCAGCAGCCTGAATTCTGTCCCCCAGACCACACGGTAGAAGAGAACTAACTAGCAAGTTGACACTTGTAATAACTATAAATAAGAATTTCCTTTATTATTGTTTATTTTTGTGTATGATGGTTTATATACATGCAGGATCTTACATATGTGTCTGTCTGTCTGTCTGTCTGTCTGTCTGTGTATGCTTGTGTATGTATACACAGCATTTCAAGACATTCAAGACAGCATTTCTCTCTGTAGCTCTGTCTGTCCCAGAACTCTCATTGTAGACCAGGCTGGCCTTGAACTCAGAGATCTGTCTGCCTCTGCCTACTGAGTGCTGGGATTAAAGGTGTGTGACATTCTATATTTTTAAAGCAGAGTCTCCCAATGACCTGGAGCTCACCAAGTAGGGTAAATTGGCTTCAGGGATTGTGCTTGCATGGCAAAACTTTAAAGGAGCTACATCCTCAACCTTCCTTTTTCATTTGCTCTACTTCAGCACCTAGTGTCTCTAAACAACTCAGTTTTTTTTCTATTGTGTAGCCCAGGCTAGCCTCAAACTCATGCTCTCCTGCTTCAGTCTCTCAAGGGCAAGCATCCCCTGGGATTACATTTGTAATCATCCCTTGGCTGCATTTTCTTTTTTTAGGCTTTTATAGTAGAATGGTAGTATAACTCTTTTCCGTCTTTTTCTAAAATTTTATTTATTTATTATGTAGGGAACCTGATCAAATTACAGACGGTTGTGAGCCACCATATGGTTGCTGGAAATTGAACTGAGGACCTCTGGAAGAGCAGCCAGTGCTCTTGACCTCTGAGCCATCTCTCCAGCCCCTCTCTTTTCTGTCTTATTTTGCTCAACTTTTGTGTGAGATGCTTTTTTTTCACTTTTTAAATTTTTATATGTATAGGGAGTTTACCTGCATGTGTGTGCATCATCGTGTGTGCGTCATGTGTGTGCGTCATGTGTGTGCGTCATGTGTGTGCATCATGTGTGTGCGTCATCGTGTGTACATCATCGTGTGTGCATCATGTGTGCATCATCGTGTGTGCATCATGTGTGCGTCATGTGTGCGCGTCATGTGTGCGTCATGTGTGTACATCATCGTGTGTGCGTCATGTGTGTGCGTCATGTGTGTGCATCATCGTGTGTGCGTCATGTGTGTGCGGCATGTGTGTGTGGCATGTGTGTGTCTGGTGCTCACAGAGGCCAGAAGAGGGTATTGGATACCCTGGAATGGGAGTTCAGACATTTGTGAGCCACCATGTGGTTGTTGAGAATTGAACTCAGGACCTCTGGAAGAGAAGCCAATGCTCTTAACCTCTGAGCCATCTCTTCAGCCCCTATGCACATTCTTGAACATCATGGTTTCTGGAAAATACTGATCTGATTTAAGCTGTATGTTCAATTTTCTTTTTCTGTTGGTGTTGGTTTTAGTTCGTTGGAAGCAGGGTCTTGAGTATGTAACCCAAACTGGCTTTGAACAAGCTGTTTACCCTCCTGCCTCAGCTCCCAGATGTTGAGATTACAAGCATATGCCATCACATTCTTCAAGTTCAGTTGTATCAGACAATGCCAAGCTGTTTACCAGATGGTTATAATAGGCCAAGTGTGTCTAGTACCTATAATCCTGCAACTAGGGAGGTCAAAACAGTGGGGTTAGAAGTTCAAGGTCATTGGCTACATAATGAGTTTGAAGCTACCTAAGCTACAGGAGACCCTTTTTTCAAAAAAACAAAAACAAGTTAAAAAATAGGTAACAATAAGTTCTACCAGGGTCAAGAATAGCTACATGAAGCCCCACAGACTTTGTTACCTCAAACCATCTTTTCACTTGAGTAAGATCCACCTTTAACCCCAGCAAGGCAGGCAGAGGATCCCTGTGAGTTCGAGGCTATCCTCATTTACAAAGCGAGTTCCAGAACAGCTCGAGATGTTACACAGAGAAACCCCATCTCGAAAAACAAAACAAAAGATCCAAGTTCCTACCTTGACTCGCAAGCCCTCCTTGATGGGGCCTCACAGTATTCTCTGCCCTGTGTCACTCTGAGTCTTGCCTTTGTCTGGGCACTCTGTAGAAAGCCCTTCCACTGGGCATTTCTACGGCTTGTTTCCTCACTTCCTCCAGGCTTTCCCTGAAGACATCTTTCTTTAGGATTGCAATCTCCTATAAGAATTAATACCAGCACTCGAGAGAAAGAGGCAGGTGGATCTTTGTGAGATCGAGGCCAGGCTGCTCTACAAGAGCTAGTTCCTAGACAGGCTCCAAAGCTACAGAGACACTCTGTCTGGAAAAAACAAAAACAAAACAAAAAGACTATGGGAACCCCCAGATATGAGCCCCAGAACTATATTAAAGAATATAAGCAGCTGGGCATTGGTGTACTATAAATCTTTAATCCCAGCACTCAGGAGGCAGAGGCACGTGGATCTCTGTGAGTTCGAGGCCAGCCTGGTCTACAGAGGATGTTCCGTTCCAGGACAGGCTCCAAAGTTGTACAGTGGAACCCTGCCTCAAAAAACAAAAACAAAACAAACAAACAACAACAACAACAAACAGGAGGCGCAGGCATAAGACAGGCTCTAGCCTTCCTTTCCCCTCCTTCCCTTCCCTCCCATTTTTCCCTTTCTCTTCACTTTATTTTATGTATTACTGTTGGGGAGGTCGCTCGTGAAGGTCATAGAACAGCTTGTAGGTGTTGACCGTCTTCTGCCATGTGGGGCGTGGTGATGCGTATCAGGTTGCCAGGCTTGCAGGCAAGCACTTTCCTGGATAAGCCACCTCTCCAGTTCCTCTCCTTTCTATTTGTTTTGTGGATTTATTTCTATTTTATGAGTATGAATGTTCTGCTTACATATATATATATATATATATATATATATATATGTGCACCACATGCATGTCTAGTGTTCTAGTGTTCACATGACTCAGGAGAAGGCATCAGATCCCCTGGTACTGGAGTTGCAGATGGTTACGACCCATATGGGTGCTAGGAACCACATCCCCAAAAGAGCAGCAAATGCTCTTAACTGATGACCCATGTCTTCTGGTCGCTCCTCTTTTTTAATGTGGTACTGGGGATAGAATCTCGGGGCTCCCTTATTTTGCACTGTGTTTTTCTCCTTACCTGGTTGTTTGGTTTCATTCAGTCTCAGATAGTGCCTCTCCTCTGCCAGAGCTTGAAAACTTGCTCAGAATCCTAAAGGACCATCCAACCAAACTGTTGGGGGCTGTTCCGCTCTGTGGACCACCTTTTATTTGATATTCCTATAATGAGCATGACCATTCGCGTGCACTCTGAAATACTGAATTATCTACTGCTGGGCTTTAGTCCCCACCCTACGCTACTCCTTACTTCCACAGGCCCTCCTGAGAGGGGAAATTGGGCTGTCTAGTTCACTCTAGCATCCCGAGCCTGGTCCATAATAATGGTTGTCCAAGTCAGCTGTTGTTTCCCATAGACAGCCAGGCACACCCACACCCACACCTGGGACTGGCTCTCTCTAGCAGCTCCCAGAACCCAGGCCTCCTTAACACTCCTATCATCTCCAGCAACATCCCTGACTCAGTCTCCCGGAGTGCTTCTACTGTGGGACTGTCTCTCGGAGACCTCTGGGAGCCTAGGGAGAACCTGAAGCCTTAGTTCTGGCTCCCAGGGTTAGAGAGACTCAGGCGGGTAACCACGCCTAGAGGGGAGGAAGGTAAGACCAGTCCATTCCAGGCAAAGAACAGTGTGAATAAGAGCTGTTGGCATGAAAGTGCACATTCTGTGTCCTGATCTGGTGCGGAGAAAGGACCATGAGCAGGATGGATGAAAGTATTGTCAGGCAGATGGAGAAGGGAATGGCCAGGTGGGGAGGTCTGAGCTCCCTGCAGGATCAGTAAGGCTCAGAGTGTCTTAGACTTAATCCTGCCCCCCTCCCCACAGATCCACCCAGCCACCTGCCTGCCTGATCCCTCAGCCAAATGGACTTCTCCCTGGGCCTACGCTTGGGGCCCCGGAATAAGAAGGCTACCTATCAGGAGCCCCCTCCATCCTCTGGGCGTGGGCCTCCAGCTACCTCTCCCTGCTTGTCCTGTCCCCCTTCTACTTGTGCCTGCCCCTGTCCCAGCTGTCCCCCACCCACCTGTTCCTGCACTGCTTGTCCCTCATATACCTGCCCTTATTGCCCAGGCCTCCCCGGCCCACCCTGCACCTGCTCTTGCTCTCCTTGCCCTACCTGTCCTCCCTCAACTTGTCCCCATACGTACTGCGTCCCCTGCTCAAGTCCACCTTTGACCTACTGCCAGCCTTCGCCTTGCCCCATTTACCCTTGTCCCACAGGCCAGACTGCCTGTGGGAGCTCCCACCTGGGCTGCAGCGGCAGCTGTAGTTATGGCCGTGGTGCTGCTTGGAAGCCTCGGGGCTCCACAGGCTGCTGCAGTTTCTGCTTCAGGAGACAGAGGGCTTCTCAAGGACTCTGTCTGATAATCTAGGCTGAGAGGACAAGTACTGGAGCTACTTTCTCAGACAGAAGCTCTGCCTGGAGTAGAGATGGAATCAGGTGGACACCCCCTCCCCAAGTCCGGAAGGGGACCTTTTCGGATACTAGTTTCTGGGTGTGCTTCTGCTGGTTCCAGAACCTCCTCCTCTGCTCCTTCTGAAAAGGGTAAGGTAAGCATGTCCCTGGCTCCTTCCTCTCCAGGAGAGACCTCTGCCTATCTCCTTTGCAGTTCACATAGCTATGACAGGCTCCTCTTTCTTTAGGGGAGGAAACTGTTCAGCGGCCACTCCTGACTCTGGACCTCCCCTCACACTCTTGATTGTCTCAGAGTTTCTAGCCTCCTAACCTCTCATCTTCAGCCAGACAAAGGTGGTTGGCACCCCTTAGACCAGAAGAGATGACTGAGCAGAGGGCTCTTGGTTTCTCCCTTCCCTGGAATAGCTTTGATATCTTTCCTCGTCGTTTGCGTCCATCCAGGAACCTTCTGCCCAGATGTTTTGTGTTGGACATTTCCAAAAGCTCACTTAGCCTCATGACCTCAATCTTGTAGCAGTAACCCTGTCTCGGTCTTAGACAGCCATGCTCATCTGTCTTGGGGAAGAGGGGAGCTGGGAACACTTCTCTCCGGCTCCCAGTAGTCCTACCCACAGGTAGGTGATTTTACTTGTATGCTCCCTATTGCGGTGGAGATGAGAGATTCAAAAGCCACCAAGGGAGGTGGCTTTTTGAATTCTATTCTGGTGGGTTGGGTTCTTGTTGTTTTGGTTTTGTTTTCCTGGAACTGAGGACCTAACTCAGAGTCACAAGAGCTTACTAAGCAAGCTCTCTACCCCAACCCTGAGACAGAGATTTATATAGCCTCATGAACTCACCGTATAGCCAAGGTTAGCCTTAAAATTCTTTCTGTCTCTAGTTCTCACGGACTGGGATGACGAGCATGTGCCACTACACCTAACTCTCCCTTGGATTTTAATTTACCTCAACTCTCAATTTCTCTTCCTTCTCTATTTTCTTTTTGGTTTTTTGAGAGTTTCTCTGTGTAACAGCCCTAGCTGACCTGGAACTAGCTCTTGTAGATCAGGTTGGCCTCAAACCCACCTGCCTCTGCCTCCCAAGTGCTGGGATTAAAGGCGGTCACCACCACCACGGCTTTTCTTACATTTTATTTAATGTGTGTGAGCACTGTTATGTGTACCAGTGGAGGCCGGAGGACAGCTTCTGGGAATCAATTCTCTCCTTCCACCATGTAGGACATAGGAGTTAAGTTCAGATCTTCAGGTTTGATAGCAAGTGCTTCTACATGCTGAGCCATTTTGCTAGTCCAATCCCTGTTTTGTTTCTTTTTTTTTTAAATATTTATTTATTCATTTATTATGTATACAATATTCTGTCTGTGTGTATGCCCGCAGGCCAGAAAAGGGCACCAGACCCCATTACAGATGGTTGTGAGCCACTATGTGGTTGCTGGGAATTGAACTCAGGACCTTTGGAAGAGCAGGCAATGCTCTTAACCTCTGAGCCATCTCTCCAGCCCCTGTTTTCTGTTTCTTGTGGGTTTCTTTTTCTCTTTGTTTCATTCACTTGTTTTATTTATTTATTTATTTATTTATTTATTTATTTATTTATTTATTTTGGACAAGCCCATGCTGGCGTCAAACTCTGTCTTATTCTACCTCACTCCCCGGTGCTGGAGATATAGATGTATACCATATGCCTAGCTGATTCACAGAGGACTTTGCAGCACGGTAATCGTGATGTCATCACCTGAGCCCACAGATGAAGTTTAGCATCACTAAACGTGAAGAGCCAGACCATTTGCCTGCTGTCATGATGCAGTCTGGAGCATTCAGACTAGAAAAGACGCTGGCCAAAGAGACACACAAACTGTTCAACATGAATTAAATCAAACCCCACTGCATATCATGTGTGTGTGCACGATGTTGATAAGTGTGCACATCATGTCACATGTGCGCACACAGTCACGAGCGTGCATGTCATGTCACATGTGTGTGCATGTTCGTGAGTGTGCACGTCATGTCACATGTGTGTGCATGTTCGTGAGTGTGCACGCCATGTATGTGCAGGTGCTCATGTAGACCAGAGATTTATTCCTTAGAGCATGGTCCACCTTAGATTATTTTGCTTTGTTGTGAGACAGTGTTTCTCTGTGTAGCTCTGGCTGTCCTGAAACTTGTTCTGAGTCCAATCTGGCCTTGAACTCACAAAGATCCATCTGTCTTTGCCTCCTGAGTGCTGGGATTAAAGGCATGTGCCACCACTGCTCAGCGGATTTTTTGTTTTGGAAACAGTCTTTCATTAGGTCCTGTCACTCCTGCCACCATGCCCAGTTTTCACACGGGTTCTGAGGACTGAACTCCTGTCAAGTTTGTGTGCCAAGCAAGTGCTTCACCTACAGAACTAACCCTTAGCCCCCTATTTAATGAGAAATACAGGAGATGGAGAAGCATATAAAATGACCCAATGAGGAAATAAGTAGACACTGGTAAAATGTGGGCGATTTTAAAGCCGGGCAGTGGTGGCGCACACCTTTAATCCCAGCACTCGAGAAGCAGAGACAGGCAGATCTCTGTGAGTTCGATGCCAACCTGGTCTACAAGAGCTAGTTCTAGGACAGGCTCCAAAGCTACAGAGAAACCCTGTCTCAAAAAACAAAACAAAAAAAAAAAATGTGGGCGATTTTAAGAAAATCTGACCCAGTTACCTACATAAGTCGATAGCTGTGGGAAAACGAGAAAGGACTTAAACTAGAGCTACAGAACTGCCTCAGTGAGGCCTGCAGGGAGGGGAGAGCTGCATCAGTGAGGCCTGCAGGGAGGGGGGAGCTGCATCAGTGAGGCCTGCGGGTACAGCTGCCGTCAGTGAGGCCTGCGGGTAGGAGGCTATGGATAGCCATGCTGGGATATATGGGTCTGTTTTTGTTCAAGATTTGGGAGTGCAAATGATAAAAGGATAGTTTAGAAGTTGAGAACAATCAGGGTGGTGGAGCAAGCCTTTAATCTCCGCATTCAGGAGGCAGAGGCAGGTGGATTTCTGTGAGTTTAAGGCCAGCCTGGTCTACAGGGTGAGTTCCAGGAAAACCAGGGCTGTTACACAGAGAAAACTTGTCTGAAGAAAAAAAAAAGTTGAAAACACTTAAGTGTAGACTGGGCTGTATTTTGTTTTTGAGACAGGGTCTAATGAATTATGCAGCCCTGGCATAATTATAGAACTCACTATATAGATGAGGCTGGTCATGAACACAAAATGATCCACCTGCCTCTGCCTCTCCAGTGCCAGGATTAAATGTGTGTATTACCATTCCCACTTTGTATTCTTTTGCTTTTTCTAAAATTTACTTAACATTTACCTATTTTGTGTTTGCGTGTGCAAGCGTGTGTGTGCATGTACGTGTGTGTATGCATGTGCATGTACACAAGTACACACTATGAATGTGGAGGTCAGAGAATATTTTTCAAGTCTGTTCTGTTCTTTCCTTTCACCAAGTGGGTCTTGGGGATCAACTGAGGATGTCAGGCATGGTGGCAAGCAGTTAACTCTTTGAGCCCTGGACTGAATTTTTGTTTGTTTGTTTTTGTTTTGTTTTGTTTTGTTTTGTTTTGAGACAGGATTTCTCTGTGTAGTCCTGGCTGTCCTAGAACTCACATTGTAGACCAGGCTGGCCTCAAACTCAGAGATCGGCCTGCCTCTGTCTCCCAACTGCAGGGACTAAAGGCTGAGCCACCACCACCTGGCTGGACTGAGGTTTTATGGCACCAAGGAATGAGTGTTAAGTTTTCAGATGTAAGCACGGCTCCAAGGTTATTTCCTAGAGCTCATACACAAGTATGGAATAAAACAACGTACTTAATGTGAAATGTTTCATTGTAGAAATCAGAAGTAAGAGTGGCAGACTTTATAATGGTTGGATTAAATATGTGTGGGCTCATGAAATTATGTAGTCGAAATTTGAGTACGTTTGAACCCTTTAATAATAAAAGTTCAGAAAGAAACTGCTGGTAAGTTGGTTTCTGACAAGTCTCTGAGCATTTCTCCCTGAAAGCTAAGATTTTCTCATGTTTCTCGTACAGATTCTAGTCCTGCTAGTCCTGTTAGAAGAGTTCCTTGGAACAGAAACAATGCAATGCCCAGCAAAATTCTTCAAAGACCTCGAAAGAACAGTACTCAACTTAATATGGGAAAGCAAAAAACTCAGGAAAGCTGAAACAATCTTGGGCAATAAAAGAACTTCTGAAGGCCTCACAATCCCTGACTTCAAACTCTACTACAGAGCTACAGTACTGAAAACAGCCTGGTATTTCCATAAGAACAGACAGGAGGACCAATGGAACCGAATAGAAGACCTAGATATCAATCCACACGTCTTCAAACACCTGACTTTGATAAAGAAGCAAAAAAATATCAAATGGAAAAAAGAAAGAATATTTAACAAGTGGTGTTGGCATAACTGGATATCAACATGTAGAAGAATGAAAATAGACCCATATCTAGCACCATGCACAAAACTCAAGTCAACATAAAGCCAGCCACACTGAACCTTATAGAAGAGAAAGTGGGAAGTATACTTGAACACATGGGCATAGGGAACCACTTCCTAAATATAACCCCAGCAGACACTGAGAGAAACAATTAATAAATGGGACCTCCTGAAACTGAAAAGCTTCTTCTGTAAAGCAAAAAACACGGTCAACAAGACAACCCACATCAGACAGAGGTCTGATCTCCAAAATATACAAAGAACTCAAGAAATTGGACACCAGAAGATCACATAATCCAATATAAAAAAATGGAGTAC